CAAACACATACCTAAACATTGTTGAACAACCTCTTGTTCTTAGGCCATCCTAGCTTGATTAAAAGACATGCAAAGATCGCCTTAACTGCTCTCAGAGGTCCAAAGTAATCTATAAAGTAGGATGCTGGGACTGTATGAATTCTATAATAAAAAATTGGGTCACTGAACTCGTTTTTATGCTATAAGCAGTCAAAGCCAAATAGAAGGGTGTTTATAGCAGGTTATGCTGTTGCTATGGAGATCTTTTGCAACACAAAAATTACCCCACTTTGTTTACCGATGATAGAAATTTTTTTGAGTGATTATTACGGCATTAACTGAAAAAGGAGGGGTAGCAGTGATTAATTAAAGATGAAGTGCTAAGAAATGCTAGAAACCTTTGTGAGCCACCTTATATTTGGCGATCACAGACATTTCAATGCGTCATAAGCTTAAAAAAAGCGGCTTCAGTTTGTATTTTTAGAGATCTGTTTCTGCTTTAGTAACAATATGCTTTTTGAAATTAAGAATTTTATTTCTGAAGATAATTCTTTGGGGAAAAGGGGGAGGGGGTGCCACTTTTCTGTAAGCCCCGTTTTGAGGATTTTGTATACCGATCCAGGCCCTACCTTGTTCCATAAGAATAAACTATGAACCTTAATGGAAATATAGTTCTGTCATGACGATACGGAACGTCGTCCAGTTTTATGGCTAGTTTTTGGTTTGTTTGTGCATGACCGGTTGTGGGGGAGGGGGGGAGATCACTCTTGAAATTAACGGAGCTATAAGAATAACTAAACAGTCAAAAAAATGTAAGCAAACTTAAGTAGTAGTCAAAATGAGATGTGGAACAGCATAATGCACTCTAGTGTCACGTAGCATGGATTAGAATGTGTTATTCAGTTTCTGAATAAATGGAACACAATGAAGTGTTATGGCGTAATGTAGTGCTGTGTTGTTTGATAAATATATTAATAAACAAACTCGGCTCATTGTATTAATTTTCCCGCGTTTCTCAGCTCTACGCGTAACGGCCGGTGCATACAAACGTGCTTTACTGAACAATGACTCATTTTAACTTGGACCATTTCTGAAAGGGAACAGCTCTCCTAAGTTTGATTGTGTATATTCACTGAGTTAAAACATTAATGCACGCCATCCAACGTAGAAGAGTGCTCCCGTTTCAGAATAGGCCAAAATTATAGCAAATTGCCTAAGTTAAACCAAACTACCGAAAAACAGTCACCAATACGTAGAATTCATACCCGAAATAACGATATTCAAACAAATATCCATATTTCAATTCGATGTAAAAATACAAACCACAGGCGAAGCTCTTCCTTGGGCAACCTCCTCATGCAGGGGTGGGGAATGGTAATTGCGACACTCTGCGAGACGGCGAGACAAGCGTTTTTCTTTGCGAGCCCGAGACATTTTGACTTTTTAGATTGCAAGACCGAGACCTCAAAGTGTTTTGAGTGCGAGCGCGAGACGTTCAGATTCTTAAAATTCGTGGAATTAAGACAATTAGGAGAAGTTAGGATTACCTTTTTCTCGGAAAATTTGTAAGTTGCTTCATTGAAATTCCATATCATGTAAAGACACGACGTAATTTATAAAAACAGATAAAGGAACGAATTGGGACTTCGAGACCCTAAGCCTTGCGAAAAATCGAGACTCCGAGACAGCTTCGTAGAAAAATCGAGACTGCGACCATTCGCCACCCCTTCATGCGGAGACACCTCACCTAAAGTAGGGTGTGGTCCGGTCAGATAATAAATATTTCATCCCCCTATAAGACTGTATCTTTCCCGAGCAGACAATTATCATAATCCCAAGGAAGTTCGCTTGCAGAAGGGAGAACATTACCGGCTATCCACAAAACTCGAAAACAAAGCGTGAATTGTAGAACTCAGCTCTAATATCCGTGGGACAAGATATATGGCTAGACAACGATATGCGGATCCCTAGGGGTCATGATATTCTCGCTCCACTCATCCTCAGATCAGTACCAAGAAGTGTAGAAGTGTTTGTCACGAAAAGCTTCCGAATATATAGAAAATCTAGGGCAAGGTAGGAATACACTCGGGAGGTAACTTTATGATACACGCTTTGACATATAGAATCAGTAAGCACATGACGAACATTAATACAGCAGTGACCTACCCTCAGTGAATCATTGATTTGAGCAATTTGCCTGTGGCCACTGTGAAATCGTTAACCCCAGCCCGATCGAGTTTACTTAATAAGGTTTAACTATCAGTTGTGTGATAGTCGAGGGACAGTTGGCAGCAAGTGTCGCGAAAACCCTTACACTATATACCAGAGAATATATTTACCGACTAATTAAGAGCGAAAGTCCACAAAAATCAAAAATAGTTCGGTAAGGCTTAAAAAATAGAATTTTTCCTACTGTTGAATATGAGAAGGCCTTAGTAAACGTAAAAACGCTATGTAGTTTTTTTTTTCTTCAAATATCTTGGTATTTCCGAGAAAAACGACATAATCGCTTTAACGTCCATACATCAATCTAACGACTGGGCTAAAACTTTTTATTCGATTCGTACGTCGCAACTACTGAGGGCAGAAAAGTTGTAATACAGCCGGCTTATTTCAGAACTATAACTTGTCTAAAAAGCACAATTTCAAGAATATTTGATTAAACTAATTATTTGGCGGTAAACAAAACCAGAGTATTCTCAAACGTTGAGTTAGTCAGGCGATGAAAATAATCGTCATTTTGACCATGTGCCACATCTCGGAATTCCAAAAGATTTTAGATTCTAACTATACTAGGAGAGGCCTTTCAATATATGTAAAGTTTAATTCGTTTGGGCAAATGATTAGGTCCTCGTCAAAATATGATTCAAATCATACACAAACAAATTAAAATCACGCCTGCAGTCGAATGAGTGACCAAAAAGTAGTACCATTGTTTTAGTAAGTAAGTAATTAACAACTTTATTTACAGAGGGTAACAATAACAGTAAATCACTTCAATTCGAAATATCATAGGGATATCAGCACCACTTAAACATAAAACAACGTAACCATGTTCACCTTAGCTGGGTTATCTGTCTTGACTGTCAAACAACATTCCTATCAAACCATTTCAACGGTGTTCCATTAGGTTTGCGTGACCAGTACGCATTCATCTGGTGAATTTGAATCCCCCAAATCGCTCAACATTAGCAAGTTCCTCTGCAGATGTTGCTACTTTTTTCGTTGTGTTTTTCAGTATAATCATTCAACCTGCTTTCAAGCAGAAATCCCCATCTTCGATCGCTCCGCGTCTCCTGTTTGCATATTGTCCAGCAAAAGTCTCTGCAAACAGGGAAGGCTGGGGTGGTGATTATTGCCGAAAAAAAAGCGTTAGAAATTTTTTCCATATCTCGATGTTAGTTCCAATTCAGGGCCTCCTTTCTTAAGTAGAGCGATAAAATGCTACACACTAACCCGTTCTTTCCGGTTTAAAATTCGAACAAAGAAAATTAACTCTACTAAAAGCTCTGAGATCCCGACCCTCACTGACCATGTAAAAGATGTAACGCACGGCTGCCTCGATCGGTTAACACATCTTCAGTTAACATGGAGGACTTCCAAACGTCTTCAAAATGGAAACCCGAATGTTGCATATGGAATAACGCTTTAGCTGTTTCTACTGGCTGAATCAAACGACACAAGTCGCACAGATAGATGATACAATTGCAATAATACACATACGGGACTTGGCGGTAATTGCTTTTTCTTGAATGTCGGATATGAGCAATGAACGTGAGAAGGTCGCTGAAAATAAGCAGCGAAAGAATCAGTTTGCAAGAATCAGGATGTTACAAACCGAAGTTGGTGGACATCTTTATGTTATTTATAGCCTGGTAATGCTGACGTTTCGAACTGATGACAGTGATAATACAGATTTTGGTACGACTTTTGGTCGCGCACTCGATAGCTGTTCGTGTGATTTTTGTGTCTTTTGTGGACAATTTTGAATAATTTCTTGACGAGTGCCTAATCATTTGCCCAAAATAAACTTACATCTATTGAAAGGCCTATCCTAGAATAATTAGAATCTAAACTCTTTTGAACATCTGAGACATGGCACATGATCAAACGGACAATTCTTTTCACCGACCGACTAACTCAACGTTAGAGAACACTTTGGTTTTGTTTACCGCCAAATAATTAGATAAATCCGATATTCCTGAACTTGTGCTTTTTTCAGACAAGGAATAGTTCTGAAATAAGCCGCGGGCTGTATTACAACTTTTCTGTGCTCAACAGTTGCGAAATGCGAATGGAATGAAAAAGATCGATTTTTACCCCAGTTGGGAATTGCTTTATTGAGTCTGAAGGTTAAAACGAAAATGTTGTTTTTCTCTGAAAGACAAATACTTTGAAAAACTACAGCCTGTTTGTACTCTTGCTAGGGGCTTGCTACATGCAGAAGACGAGCTAATTTGACTTTTCAAGCCTTGCGAAGAAATTTGATCTTGTTTGATTTTTGTGGACGTTGGCTCTTAATATTGTAAACTGCGCATTTAATTTGGGAAAAACGCTTTAGATATAGAGAACTTCGATATAGGCAAGTAAACAACTTATTTCAAACCATACTCAGTTACATGTAGTTTTCTATTCATTAGTATGTGCAATTGTTTTTCTGCATCGTTTATCTGCTGAAGAAAAAATCTGTATCACAAGCTAACTCAAATTTCGTTGCATATCATCCCCTCCGGATTTCCAAAGCACACTTTGTTCCAGGCCAAAGCTGGAGGGATTTATACGCCTGTTGTGTATTCGGGTTTGGAGTACTTCTGTAGAGTACGCAATGAATCAGCAAATGTGTTCTACGCAACTGCTTTACTAGAACTGAAAAAAAAAACTGATCTATGTACAAAAATATAAAGGTATAATCACGTGACTGCGGTTAAGGCTGTGCTAATTCATGATTACAGATTATCTAACAAATAAGCTTTTCATAAAATAGGAACATACTCTACAAAATCCAATTTAAAACTAAAATGCCCAATATCAAACCCATACTAATAAATCGCTTACATGAAGTAATAAATCACTGTCCAGAGATAAGGGTAGAGGCCAGGATGAAGTAACATAGCCCCTCATACTAAACACTTGGTGTTCAAGAGTATACTGACAAACAAATCTATCCTGTGCCCCTTTTTTTGAAATCCCATCGACCTTACATCAGTATCAAAAGTTTTTCAATGTGTTAACTTTTCTTTGATACAAAAACGTTTTATTGTCACTTCCTAATCAGACAAAAGCCTACGAAATCGACATCAAAATTCATGTTTATCCTGAAATGTCTATTAATCGCATTTGACTGGAGGAAAAAATTATCGCCTATATATTCCCTTCAATCAGGAAGAAGACAACGATCTAAATCAAAGTTATAGTCATTTCGAGTGCATCTTCTGCTCCATGGACGTCCTATGGATCAAACCATTGACTAAGTTACAGTGGTCTAACAACATCCTAGAACAGTGTAAGGATTTCATGATTACAAACGTTTGCGGAAGGACGTTGCTCTGGATTTCTATCCCAGCAGCGGCTCATCAATTCCTTCCATTGGGCTGGAGGCTTCTTGCTACCTTCCACATCTTTCGGACGATAGCCTTCATCCACCCGACTGAAAAAAAGTGTCATTGGGCCCTTGAATTCAGCAAAGGCCTGCTGCCCATGCCACATCTCCCACAGCATTAAACCAAAGCTGTATATGTCTGCCTTGCTATCATACACTTTGGAATGAAATACTTCCGGTGCGATGTACACAGGGGTCCCCTGCAAAGTACCCGTGATGTCCTTTACTTCCTTAGAAACTCCAACATCAGTTATCTTCGCTAAGTTGTCGTCTGATAGCTTAAATGTAAACCAAGGAGCACATACATTTTCATTATATACTGAGCAAATTAAACAATTTCTTTAAAGGAACACCAACAAAAGACAGTTTATTGTTTTGTGCTTCCGAAATCTAATGAAAATTTTTGACAGTGTTGTGGTTTTGAAAACTATAAGGACGAAAGTTAAATTAAGTTACGTTAAGTTAAGTTAACAATTATATTTTCTTCAATTCAATTAATTTCAGCTGCATGGGTGTTTGCCAGGCGGAAAGTTTGAAGCCTTGCATTTTTTTTTTCCAATATAGTCAAATATTCATGGGTATCTACAACAGGAATAGAGAACGGAGATTTGGTGAATAGCTGACAACAATTTTTCATTTCCAATTTCCCATTTGGTATCTCCCACTGCCCACTGCATTGTTCTTCTACTGAGAAAGTGTCTAGGAGTACTTGTGTATATACAACTATGTTCTCAAAAGCAGACAGAATTTAACACATTCTCGAATTTTACTTAGGTTTTAAAGCATTTTTCCCTTTCAAACTCGAAAACAGATTTCCTTATTTTTCGTTCAATTGACAGAAAATCAGAATATGATTTTGAGCAATATTTAGGTCAGTATTTTTAAATTAGCTTAGCACAAAAACTTCAGTCTCATACCAATATGTTCTCTAGCTTGAGATCCCTGTGGACAAATCCCTGATTGTGTATAAACGCAAGAGCATCAGTGATATCTCTCGCCCATTGACATACTTCTCTAAAGACATCAGGATTTTTGGTTTTTGCTGGTGTTGCTTCTGGGTGATCGAAGATCTGACTTTTCAAGTTTCCTTTGCACTTTTCCATTACCAGGATCACTCTTGTGGTGTCCGCGCTCTTGAGAAGGGATGTGCCATAAAACTTTACAATGTGGGGATGGTCCAATTTTCTGACCAAGAGATTAAAAAAACACGCAATATTCATAAAAGTAATGCAAAATTTCCTTTATTTAAACTGCAAGATTATGTTATATTCCTTTCCTTCTTATCTCATGCCCCTTGGTACATCGATCGTCTACCACACACATCTGAGTAGGAACAAAATACTCTGATCTTCATAAAATGGAGTCGAAGAGACAGAATAAGTGAAAAGACCACTCCGGGTTAAGAAAGAAGTTATGTTGCGTTACCGGGGCAATCCACAAGATCATTATTTAAAGTATCTGCTCCTTAACGAGCCCTGTAATACCAGACAAACCCATCTCCAGTCTTAGTTCAATTAGCTCTTGCATGCATGGAGGGCGAGGTTCGGTAAACTCAAGAATCTCTTACCTCAAAAGTTCTACCTCTGCCATTATAAGGCTTGCACTGTGGACGTCAAGCTTGTTCCTGCAAACCTTTAATGCTACAGTCTCCTCCTCTCCTTGCCTTCTCATCTTCCCTTGGTACACAGTGGCAAATACACCGCTTCCAAGACGTGAAGAACTCTCTTCTTTCCAGTCTAACTCCTCGCTGCTGATGTCAATGGCACGGATGCCA